GCACTAGGGGGATGGAAGCGGAGAGCGCTCGCCTCGTTTACCGCGAGATGCAATTACGTACCGTGACGACCTCCCTTATTCCACGTAGGGTGTAACCTGCTCCGCCCCCTTTTTTCCACCCCGATCCAGAAACACATGCCGAGGGTGATTCTGGAAATACGACCCCCAATGTCCAGCCGATTTATGATTCCCATATGACCGGCATTTTGGCCCACTGATTCCCTCCATTATTTTTATCAACCCTGATTGATTAAAAGAAAAAAAAAGAGAGAGAGAGGAAAAGATAAATCATCCCTTCGGGACCGACCTGGAGAATTTGGGGATCGAAACATTTCGCCAGGCTGATTCCAGCCGTGATTTTTCACGCCGACCCTGATAAAAATAAAATCATCCCCTAGTCTCCAAACTGAAGAAGACACCCTCCCACCCTCGAATTAAAATTCACAAAATGGCGGAGATTCGTCCTATCTCATTGAAAAAAAGAAAATTTAGGACAGCAATATAGATAAAAACAAGATAGTTTTTCGAAAATATCTGGTCCATGAGATAATACCCTTGGAAGGGAGGCTTGGCTCCCAAATGTGGACCATTTCCTCCCTAAGGAGTGGATTGTCAAATTATTTCACCCCTTCTTCGCAGAGATCTCGTCTTATCGCGTCGTTCCCGAAAACGCGAGCACACAGCCGGGGAGGTAATCCGGATCCATCCCTTGGGTAATCCAATAAGCACCCCGGGATTTAATCGATCAATCTTATCTGCCAGTATCTCATTCCTTTTTCCCTCTTTTTCCACCCTTTCATGCCGGACCTCGCAAGACACTCGCAAGAATCGTTCCGCCCGGATTTACCGCGAATTTGTCGAAATCTTCGAAAGGGGTGGTTTCACATCCGGCCTGATAAGGCGCAACTCATAACATCATGATAATATTTTAGGATTTCCACCGACTAAGTAAAAATTATAAGTTACAGCCAATGAGAGATTTACTTCCCTTGGAACGAATTTCGCCCGCTTGTGATTGTGTTATCTCCACCCCTCCCCTAGCCCCCCCGCGGACTCGGAGCTCCAACTATAATTGAATTTAAATTGAATTTAAAATATTAATACATTCTTACGCACCTATACAGTTATTAAGGTCCGCCACCCCCGCAGCCGTGTTTCCACGAGTCCCCCCCAGCCCCATCCCTCGCGACGCGTCCGCTTTTTACCCTGTCGAGCCCCTTTGAAGCAGGGGCTTCATTTAGACGGTAAATTAATTAACTAATTAATTAAAACCTCGCTAAACACCTCTTATCCGTGACCGACTTTAATATGGCGCGACGAGGTTCGAGGGGCCTTGCCAAACCTCCACCCCTTTGGCGCCGAGCCCCCTCCCCATAACCTATGAATTATAAAAAGTTTTCCTTCCATTTTTTGTTGTTTAATCCATATTTTCTGCCTTTACTTTTTTGTCCGACATTTTCGACGAGATAGGGCGAATTTCCGCGATTTTGGGAATTAAGCGTTAAGAAAAATTGGCGAAATACATGTACCTGACTGTCACAATCATTTCTGATCGGAAAACAAGTGAAATCAATTATTCTCCACATTTTCTGTCTTTTACTTTCTTATCGGACATTTTCTTTTCTCCCATTTTTCCGCTATTTCGTGAAGGCTAGCGCGAGGGGTGGAGGGTGCATTTTCGATGGTCGTGAGGGGTAGGTTGAATTTCGTGCCGGGCAGAAAGTGAGGCATCATTTTGGAGGCCGTTAATTGTTTGTTCCTGTTCTAGGAAAATGTTGCTGTTGCGTTTTTTTTTCCTTTTTAATTTAATTTCTTTGATGCGGCCTCTGAGGCAGATTGTCGGTGGTGATTTTACCGGCACCCCCCAGCGAGCCTCGAGTTCGGTATAACGAGAACTCGCCCTGCGGTCGGCCGCGGTTTGTGGTTTAGCAAACGGACTTTGCTTAACTTAAGGTAAAATCAAGTTAGCGAGGGACCCCCCGCGAGCCTTGGCCGCCCCTTCGGGCGCCGGCGGTATTTCCTTTGATCCCAAGATTCCGCCAACTAAGTTGGCCGACTTGTTTCCGATTTTATCCCCAGATTACGTTCCCCAATCAGATACACCGAGAAAACATATATATCTCATTGAATCAAAATATCGTATATCTCATTGAAATATTTTCATAATTCAAAGAACGGTTATTTCACCCAAATAAAATGGATGTAACGTTTATTGGGAATAAGGACAATTCATTTGAGTCAGATAATCCTTCTTGGAATTGACGAAATGTTTCTTTGGCATTATTCCGCTCTCTAAATAAACTAAAATAGTGTAAAATAAATACGTGAAAATGTGCACATCTTTTAAAAAAATCGTTTATACGTCTTTGGGGAGTGGAGCCCAAGGAGCACGAATTCCGCCCAAAAAATCGCGCTTCCTCGCTCTCTAAATAAAGAATAAATAACGAAAAGAAAAAGAGAAAAGAAATGATAAAACCGTAGCTCTTTTTGAAGCCCGTTTACACGCTTTCGAGGGACGAAAGGCGTTCGCTAAAAAAACAAGGGCCTGCCTAATTGGCGGATCTTTGTTCCGGTTACGTACGTACACCGGAAACTCGCAACAATGGGGCGCCATTAAAATACTCGCGCGACCTGTCGGCCATGGTGGTGGGGGGGGGGGGGGCAAGGGGGTGCGTAATGAGTGCGTAATTTGCGCGGGGGTAAATATCTTCATTTGGCCCGGCAGGTCGAATCGGGGTCCGATGCATAATTTTAATCCTCCGGCATTGCCTCCCCCCCCCCCGGGGGGGGGCAACTTGGCTCGTTCGCTCGCATTAACGCGCCAACCGACTCTCTAAGCGCACTAATTTTCTGAAAGCCAATCGACCAGGCTCGATGTACGCGCTTTTGGCTAAGCTCGTTTTCCGTCCGGTCGATCCGCGGCCGCGCGTGCGGCCGACGCGGTTGCGGAATCCGCGCGCGCGGAAAACCCGAGGCGAAGGGGGCTGATTTTCGGCATACGGCGCGAATCCAAAATTTGGAGGGGTTCTCGGGCATTTCCGGACGACTGGGGTGGAGTAAGAAATTCAAAGGCTCACTTACAGATATCAGACTGATAAGGGCTTTTTAATCATTCTTGCATCGTACGAAAAAAAAAACCCTTTGTTAGAATTTCTTGCGGCACCTTTCAATATCAATGTACAAGCGAAGTTTAAAAGGCTTGAATGTAGATCTCAGGCTGATAAGGGACTTTAATAATTTCGATTAACGGGGGAAGAATTTTTTGCCGAACTTATCGGTGTCCGAGGATGAAACAGTATATATACATATATATATATTTTTTTTTTCGTAGTTTCGAGATTCGTTTACGATTCCCCAAGTAATCCGCCTTCCTCCCAGGCCGATTCGGGGGTGGGTGGGGGGGGGCGCGGGATTGTCGGTCGGAAAGGAAATAGAAATGGACCGAAGCGAGCCTCATCGAATGCGTATTCGGTAGATTTACACGTTATTCAAATATTCCACGCCCGGTAAGCTATGATGAATACTCGCCGCTCGAATTTAATCCTTTTCCACCCCCCGGCGCCGGGGGGTGGGGAGGTGAGGGGCAAGCGCGCAGGGAGCGAAATCTGCAAAATTAAATATGCCTCGGTAACAGGGGCCGGCCAGATTAGTCGAATCATTTGATGCTTTAATCGACACCCCTAGAGATTTCGATTTCGATTTCGATTTTCCACGGTATATTGGCCGCGGAATAATGGAAACAAAAAGGAACTGGGGATGATCCCTGATCGATCGATGATTTCAAAATCGATTTTCGAAATCGCGATCACCTCCGAGCACTCCTCTCGGGCAGTAAAGGATGTCATTCGTTTCTATTCTATTTCGGCCCGTAACGAATCCTGTTTTACCATCGGGGGATGGTCTCATCATTTCAGAAGCCGGCGACATGCGCGACGCGAGTTCCCGCAGAACATCGACGAAGAATCGAACAGAAAATCGATTCCCCTTTTTTCAAAGAATCCTCAAACACGAAAAAAAAAATTTTTTTTTTAAATAAAAAAAATAAAAAGGAATCAAGTCCTTTCATCCCTTGTCCAACTAAACGCTGCGAGCCTTTTGCGCCCCCAAATACGCCTGAATTCCGATATCGCTCAAAACGGGGGAAAAAAAAACTCACCCTACACCAACGAAATGACCAATACCACAAATTCCGAGAATTCCCCCAAATTTCAGAATTTCGGCCGCCCGGAGTTTTGGAATCCGCAATTTAGGATTCTCCCTCGAAATACTGCCCCGACATTTAAAAACGTTTCGAAAAATCACCCCTCCCCCCTGTCCCCCTCCTCCCAATTGGGCCAATCCAGGATCGAAGGAACATCCATATCACGTATCGATAACTAGGGAAAAAAAAAAAAAAAAACTCTCTTTCGATAATACCCCGATCGTGCGATGGTTCTGGAATTTCGGGACCGCAGAAAAATCCCGGTATTTTCAGAGACCATGATCGGCTCAAAAATCGGTTGTGGGTGGCGCGATTGAAGTGCGCTTTTCCAAAAACGGGAACTCGATCGTGCGCGTCTCTAGCTGGTGATAATCGAGCTTCACGGAGGAGATAATGAACCTCGGGATGTGTCGGCCTGGAGGAGGGAGGAGTTGGGGCAGTTCCCCCCAGGGGTGAGTTTCGGGTCGGCGTTCGGGGGAGGCGCCTTTGTTGCCGAGCGTGGGGGTTCAAGCCCCGAGATAATGGGTAAACGGTGATCGCCGATTCGATTCCCCGCGATTCAATGATTCGATTATTTCTGGTATTGCCCCCCTCCCCAGGAGGAGCTTCTGTTATCCAAAATTCAGGAACAGCCTCGATGCACGCACGAGGCGGGGGGGGTTTCACAAATATATATTATATATATTGCTAACCGGAATTGGGAGATTGAGTTTTTCGAAAACTCGCGAGAAATTTGTACGACAGACTTTGGCGAGTTTCATTGCGGTTTAAGGGTTGACGGATTAAATAAAATGGTTACCTGATTCTTGCCCTTGAGAACGAGGACATTGGTGACTCTGCCGAAAGGCAGACCCAGATGGATGATCTCCGCCTCGGACACATCGTTCGGGATGTTTCGGATGTGGATGACCCTCGAAGGCTTGCCGTGGTGACTCTTGTCGAGCTTAGCCTGGAAGTAAAAAAAAGGAACAAAACGAAGAATGACCCTTACGGCTTAAGAAAACTGGCGACAATGGTTACATATTTAAATTACCAAGCGACGAATCGTCGGGTTCAAGAAATCGGATACGAGGCGTACCCCCTTAGGGGTTTCTTTTTTTTTTTCCCCTCAGGATTTAGATCATCTACGATGCGACCCGAGTACGCGGTGTTTCCTTCCGATGCATTATTCTCGCAAGGGCGCGCCTTGGGGGGGGGGGGGAGGCGAGGGGGCCTTGAGAGTCCTTTGGAGTATATTTAAATCGAAGCTCGGGTTCCCGGAGGCGGAGTTTTCAATCACGCCTCAATCTAGTCGACCCGGGTTGTCCCCCCCCCCCCCCCCCAGAGGGGGGCCGCCCCCGCGAAGACGTCGTCGAAAAGTCGCGGAGGGGGCGCTTAACCGATCGGAAAACGCGCCCCTTCGCGCGCAGGACAGAGAGAGAGAAATATCAAGACAGTCCCCCCCCCGGGGGGGGGGGCACTCTCGTGGTTTTCCGTATTCCTGGGGGGAGCGGGGAGGTTGAACGGGGAATCGACTTTTCTTCTGGCTTCGGGGTGTTTTCTCGGAAGCTCAGACCTAGGAAAGTTCCTGTACCCTCCATTTCGCGGTTTTGTCGGGATTCGTTAACCCCCCCCCCCCATGGGGGGGATTTCGCTGGGGGTGGGCCACCCTTGATGCCTTACACCTCGAGAAGACTGAACGGCGGTGATTTCTGCCGCACCTCCATAAATTAGGGGTCGTGCCCCCCATATGTGGATATCCCATCCCAACCCCCTGGGGGGTGGAGACGCCGTGGCCGGCACGTGATACAGATTAGGGGCATCATCCCCCGCGATTTTTCAGAGGCGGCCCACGCGATGAGTCGACCGAGTTATTGGGGGGCCGGGCGGTCGTGCGTGAGCGCCCGGGGGTGGGTGGGTGGTTGGGTGGCGACGGGTCGATCGAGGGGAGGACGAGGGAGGGCTGGGGCAGGGGGGTCAGTGGGTACATCGCCGGTGGCCGGCCTGGGACGTGTCTCGCTTTATCATCCCCAAGCCACCGGGGGTGGGTCTGGCTCGCTTAGCCCCGTCAAAGATGTCCATTTTCCCGTCGCCTTTTTCCGCCCGGCTGCGGCCGCGGCGTCAAGATTTATGGCGAATGGTTTGTAATAAGATAGGGGGTCGCGGCCTGGTGGCGGCGATTTTTAAATCGCTGTCAGCGCCCCCCCGTAGGGGGCGGGGGGCAGATTGGACGGCCGCGCTGCGCATTACTCGCGATTTCACTTGCTCCCCTGGAGGGAGAACCAAGAAAGAGGGGAGGGGGCGAAGACTGAAAAAGGGGAGTTCACAAGGGGGCGAGGGGGAGATCTCAAAAAGGGGATGGAGGGCGAAAGGACTTCGAAAAGGGAACGAAGGGCGTGAAGACCGCAAAAAGGGGGCGAGGAGAGGGATAACTTCAAAAAAGATGTGAAAGGGAGAACTTCAAAAAGGGGGTGACGTCCCCCGTTGAAATTTTCCCCCCGAAAATTTCAACTGGGGCGAACGGGGTGAGAACTTCAAGAACTTCTTCGCGTTCAGAAAAGTATAGGAGATAATGCCGGAAGAGGGGTGCGCTTTATCGCGGGGTTATCGTGATAACGCGGGGGTGGGCACCCTCAGGCCCGCTGGCCGTTGTCTGCCGCTAATATACAGCACCATCCACTTAACGGGTCACGCCAACCCTTATGGAGTGCAGTAAACGACTGCTGGTATTCTCGAGACCGGCAGCGGAAGTGGGAGGGAAGGAAGAAGGTATAATTGATTCGTCCCTCCCTAACCTCAATTTTGTAGAAATATAGACCCACCGAATTTATCAGATATCCTTCGGGAAGGGAAACACATTGAAACTGAAAAAAGGAGCTTCGAGAAGAAGAGCCTCTTTCGTGGCCATCGAGATAACCCGAAGGGGTTGCTCACCCCATAGCGGTCGCGGGCCTTTATCAGTCGCTAATAAAGATCGCTATCTGCTTAAACGGGCCACGTCAGCTATCTCTGCATGTACTTAAATACCCTCTGCAAGTATCTACTAAAATTAAACATCATCCCCTTCCAGAATATTAACCGAAAATATATTTATTTTCCACGAAAGTCTTCAAGAATTTTAGAAAAGCACCCTTGATTCCATTCTGAAGGAACGCCGGAGGGGATGCGCTTTTCCGGCCATTGTCATCACCCCTTATCAGGATCGAACTGTTCAACAGGTCACGCTGGAGGTTAGGGGTCGAAAAGGGGTGGCGATGTCGCACCCTCTCGGTGCACCCTTTATTTCCGCACGAGTCGCTTTCTTAAGACCGATCAAAGGTCGAGATTACCCCTGAAGAGGTCTCCTCGTACGAAGACCACCCTTTAGGGAATCAACCCCTATCAGCGCCTCGTCCTTATCAGGCCTTTCTTTCGGAAGTGCACTAGAATCGGCACAATGGATGGTGCGGCTGATGAGAAAATCGGGTCTGCTCTTAAAGATAAAAATGTATTAAAAAAAAAAAATAGAAATTAAAGGACAAAACATTTTTCAGGCATCCCACCCTTAGAGATACCTCGATGAAGAGCCGTTACAGAAGGGCTGCTCCTCGCCAGTCGAGAAGTGATAAACTTTCCCCCGCGTCTGCACTTCCCCGAGAAATTGATCTCCAGCTCCATAAATGTAGCTCGGTGTTCTTTTTCCGCCCCTTTTCTCCTTTTTTATATTCATTTCCTGGTCTTTCTCCCCGTTTTACGGCCGCGTCCGCCCCGACTGCTCGCTAATCCGCTCCGGCGAATATCGCGGAGTCTGCTCTGCCCAGACATTTCTTATTTCTTTTTTTTTTTTTTCTCCGAGTCTGATACATCATTCATGTTCTCTCTATTTTTATCCAAGGACAGTAGAAATCTCTTCGACGTTCCATATTTTTAAATACTCACAGTAATCATTAATTTACCCCGTTAATAATTATCTGGCCAACTCTGCCCCCCATCCCATATTTCTTTTTTCTCTCCGCGTCAATGTCACTTTTTTCTCAGTACATTATTCGTATCAATGCTTATTTACTGGACTGTATTTTTTCCAAAAGTTATATCGTCCATAAATTCTGGCAATTAATTTCAAGTCCTCTAGTGGTTGAGTGAGGTGGTCGGATTTTGCTCGAGGGTGATAACGTAAATTCTGGGGGAGGGAGGCACTCCCCCCGAGGGTGCACTAGAGGTAGTGGATATCGTAACAAGAGTGATGCTCTTTACGCGTTCGAGAGGGATGCTAGGATTGTCCGAGCGACGTGGAGGACCTCCTCGAAGAAGCTGCTACACCCCATAGGGGGGTGTTCACCCTTATGGGGGTGAGTTCTCACCCCATTCGACCCGTCCCTCGAGCCACCCTCGATTGCCACCCAGTCAATAATTGGATATAATGGAGGCAATTCGCAGGAAATCGACGGCGGGGAAACGGCCTTCCGGATCGTGAAGACGGGGGTCCGGTTGTCCGGTCAATTGTCGGACTCCACCTCTTCCCAACCCCTCCCACCCCTTTACTTCACAAGGGTTGCAGAGAAAGTATCGGAGATCCTTGAAGAGCCTCACTCTCGTCAGAGATCGAGGACGAAAGCCCTCGAAAGGACATCAAAGTCCTTCTTCAGCCCCAAGTGTGTTATCAGGGAGGTTCCCTCTTGCTGATAAAGGAAATTCGGTAACTCTTCCCAATAACTGAGGTTTTACATGATTACCTTTACAGTAAATATCAGAGATGTTAGAAAAAGCACACAGATATTTTTAACATCTCGATTTCCCAAAGTTAGGAATTTTCTAAAAGAAATTCCTTTCTTCGGACTATTTCTGTACACACTGATGTATAAATATTTGTAGGGGATGTATCTCCCGATAAGATGTATTTTTCTATTTACCCGCAGAGAAAAGTATGTTACAATTTCCCACGATGAATTCGCCCAAAAACCAAATACCTTAAATATGAAAATCATACTTTCAGATAAATGGCCCGATTTACCCATAATCAGGCGACCTTACTCTAAACAAGACTTGATAATAATTGATCCAGAAAAGTTGGAACGTTTTCGAAGAGGATTCCTAAAAATCGGGTGGAAAATTGGGGGAAAAAAAAATGAAGAACGAGGGAAAGGAGGAAGCATTATGTGCGAGGAAAGCAAATTCCCGGCTCACTCGGGGTGGAAATTTCGCGTGGAGAAAAACCCTTGCGATCCTTTTCCGCTCTTGGGGCGCTCCTCGAGACGCGAAAGGAAGACTTCCGGGGGGAGGGGAGGAGGAGGAGGAGGAGGAGGAAGAAGAAGTCGCAAGAGCATACAAGAAGTTCCCCGCAAAGCATTTTCGATGTTACGGAAGCAACAGGCGGGTCGCGAACGCCTCCATTAGAATTCCAAGTGCCAGCTCCGTCCTCTTTTTCTGTGTTTTCTCGCTCCTCATTTTTTGCCCCACCTCCCCCACCTCGCCTTTGCACCCCTCGGAAGAAGGGCGAAGTCGCCTCTTTCTAAAGATGGTCCCCCACGACGAAGAGTAGGCCTCGACGATGTTTCTTTACCCTTGCGCCCTCGAGAGCACGTCTTTCGACCGCAACCCCCGGGAAAGCGGCGTTTTTCCCTCTAAAAGGAACTTTTAAGCTCACTCCCCCCTCCAGTCCGGCACAGGAAAATCGTTCGTCCCCTCAGACGGTTCGCAGGATTTTTCGCGATTTTTCTTCAGGGTGGATATATCGGCTACCGCGTTCAATTAAACCAATGTCACGGAGAATGAGAAATTAATCAGGAGATTATATGAACAAAATGTAAAGTCGAGAATGAGGGACGTGGAAAATTGTCGTTTGAATTTCTTGACCGGAGGAAATGAAAAGTGAAATAAAGTGCATGGGAAATTTTGTAAAATAATGAATGGTGAAAATACCATGGCTGGGAGTTTGGTTTTAGGCGGGGTAGAGAGGTTAAGGGTAGTGGACATTAATTACCAGCGTTATCA